TTACTTCTATTTTCTCAACATCCATATCTTAAATTGTTATGTGATAAATACTAAAAATGAATATTTGTTAAATAAATTATCCCAGTTAAAATATTTTTTTTACTCTGCTGAAGGATTTTCAGTGTCTTGATGGTGGGGTGGTATGGTGTGGTCCTACACCTCTAAATCATACACAGTGTTGTAAACCATTGTTACCTCAATTAAAAAAAAGTGGGGGTGGGGAGAATGAGCGTCTTTGGTAGCGCAGGAGTCAAAGTCTCAGTGCTATGAAGCTATTGCCAGCACCTGCAGCATGAGTTTGATCCCCTGGCAGAGAGGTGACCCACATGGCTCAGCAGACCTCTCCTGTCCAGCCCACTGCTCCCCTCAGCAGTGTGTTTCAGCAGGTCCACCTGTTCTCCCCACTCTGTCTCTGGTGAATCCTCTCACCCCACCCCTGCTCCACATCTCTAGCCTACACTCTAGTTTTTATGCATAAATAAAAATAAGTCTTCTTTTAAAAGGAAAAAAAAATGATTGAAGTAACATTACATTATAATGTTAGATAAGTTTCAGGGGTGCACCACTATAAAACAAAACCTCTGTATACTACATTACCAATCGGGGCATATTGAGGAGACTGAACATTAGAAAATCTGAATAAGTTGCTTAAATTCACTCTGATAGTGGGTGACACAGTTGACAATTGAATCTAATTCTTTTTAGATCTAGGCTATATACCCCTCTGTTTCAAAAATCTCTTGCTGAGGCCAACATTAAAAAAAAAATAGTTCGCCCTTGGGAGCATTTGTGAATGTGGAAAGCATTTAAGACAACTTCAGAATGAATAGCGAAATTCCTCAGGCAGAAAACCAAGGAGATACTGAGGACATCTGCTTGGACAAAGCTCTTGGTAACTAGGAAGCAGCAAAGACTGGCTACTCCCAGCCTGCGCCTGGCTGGTCTCCAGCTCCACTGCCTGCCTTCCTGCCTCCTGCACCTCTAAGCCTCTGACCACCTGCAGTACTGTACAGATTATGCTCTGGTTTTGCATTCATGCCCATGGAGGGAGCTTGCTCGTGCCTATCACAGTATCCATATTCATGCTTTAGAGTACCTGGAATAAGGTATTTTGCATGGGGGGCTAACAGTGCTACCCCTGTCTTTAAACCTCAGCCTTAATTCTCAGAGAAGTTGCCTTTTTAGTTCTTTGCAGAACATGAAAACCTGTGCTGACACTTTGGACTGACAAAGAGGAAGGAGAGTAAAGCAGGAATCTTGGCTTCATCAGCATTCAGGGAATCTTCTTTAGAATCTAAGATCCAGACAGGGTATATTAGCATTTAGTGAATGTTTATTTAGTACCTGACATTCTAAGCTCTCTGTGTATATTTATCTTTACAATAACCTTATGCAATACTGACCCTGACAGTATTATGCTCATTTTCACATGGGTAAATGAAGGCCCAAGGATTTTTAAAAACTTGTTTCACACTATTATGGAGTACAACGATTAATCCACTTAATCTGACGCTGGAATAGAGGACCTTGACTATCTGGCCCTCTTATTATTTTCTGTTGTGTGTGTATTTTTGTTTTTTGTTTTCTGCTATGGTGGTTTGTGAAATCTATGGACTGGCTGTGAAGTCTTTTCAGAATGTCTTTACATATGTAAATAAAATATATAGCATTATCAACAAAGTCAATTATGTTGAAATGCAGTGAAACCACCAGAAAAACAAATTTGTGATGAATGCGCTTCATTATTAATGTATCAAATAACAAGATCTAGTGACAAATCTAATAATTTTGAAATTGTAAAGTTGTGATAAATGCACAAATATTTCCAGTTATCTTAACTGTAATGTAATATGAAAATATTTGTGATTTCTTTGGTGACAAATTATATTTGATAAATCAAGGTTAGTGGAAGTAAAAATGTAGTTTTTTTTTTTTTGTCTAAATAGAAGTGGGGCCCTCCTTGGCGGTACAAGTAGCACAGCACTATGAAGCTAGCTGCAGCCACTTCAGCACCGGTTTGATCCCCAGCCAAGGAGGTGACCCACAGGGTGCAGCAGACCTTTCCTGTCTGGCTTGCTGCTCCCCTCAGCAGTGTGTTTCAGTCAATCTGCCTGTTTTGCTCCCTCACTCTGTCTTTGGTGGATCCTCTCACCCTCCTGCACCTCTGGCCTGTACCCCAGTTCTTGTTTGCATTAATAAAATAAATAAATAAAACATTTCTTGAGAAGTTTCTTAAATCTTCATAGCTCAATGTAAATTGTCAGGTACATAATAGATATTCAATAGTCAATTCTTTTCCTTTCCTCTAGGCTTCTGTTGATCTGGCCACCAAAGAAGTTAAATCATGTTGCATAGTAGAGAAATGATAAAAGTAAGGTATTTACTAGTTCTGAGGGAAGGAAGAAGGATTGAAAAATCTATTTTTTTTTTTATGTTCAAAGGTTTATTTTATTTATGCATGCATGCAAGAACTGGAGTGTAGGACAGAGGTGCATGAGGTAGGGGTGGGGAGCAGAAGAGATGCTGAAATACACTGCTGAGGGGAACAGCAGGTGGGACAGGAGAGGTCTTCTGTGCCATGTGGATCACCCCCCTGGCTGGGGATCGAACTTGTGCTTAAGTGGCTGTGGCAAGCATCATAGTGGTGCCTTCAACCCAATGCACGAGCACAGAGAGCACCCCCCCCTTTTTTTTTTTTTTTAGGAAAACAGAACAGGTGGATATACTGAGATATACTGCTGACAGGTGAGGTCTGCTGCCCCACATGGGTCAGTTCCCTGGCAGAGAATCAAACTCATGCCAAAGCATGAATTGATGATAGCCTGATAGTGCTGAGTTTTTAAGCCCTGTGCCAGCAGAGAGACCCCCATCTGGCATCTTTTGAAGGACAAACTTAAATAGGGTGGGAGTAGACAGAACATTTAGGGAACTCTACAATCAGAGTGGAAATTATAGGAAATATGCAAACCAGTATAACACATTGCATTCATAGACACTGGAATAAAAATACTCCCTAGGGAATTATAATTTAACAATAAACTATCCAGACCTGTGGAGGATTGAAAAAGTAGGAGAAACAATACCACATTCCCTATCTTGAAATTAAAATCTGCGGATGAAGTTCCTGAAATGCAAAGTAAGGATGATGGGAATATCTGGCCTAGCAAGATTTAAGGAGGAGTTAGAGCCCCCAGACACTCAGGTCCAGGCACCAGGCTGGGTGACAAACCTCCATTCTGATTGGCCTTTTGTGTATTGAGGTGGCACATACCATGAGATGTATGGCATAGGGCTATGAGTTACTAATGAAACTGGTGAAAATGTATCCATATCAATTGTTGATACTTTGTTGGTCAATGAAAATACCTGGAAATGTCTAGAAGACCTTTCAAACGCCGTTAAGAGTTTGTTTGGGTCCTCACTGGTGCACAATGTATTAGGACTTTACAGCACTGCTAGGTAGCTGCAGCTGCTTCAGTGTGAGTTCAATACCCGCCCGCCCTGAAGGTAATCTATATGGCACCGCCAACCTCAGTTGACCCTCGCGCTGTTCTCCTCAGCTGTGTACTTCGTTGATCTGCCTATTCTGTACTCCAATCTTGTTTCTCATGAATCCTCTCACCGCTCCTGCACCCCACCTATTCTGCACCCCAATCTTGTTTCTCATGAATCCTCTCACCTCCTCTGGTCTGTACTTTCGTTCTGTGTGCATAAATAAATAAATCTTCAAAAATTTTTTGTTTTGGGGGAATGTAACAGACTCCTTTAAAAAATGGAGAAGTTATGAATCCTCAAAAAATGCACATATAATGCACAAATTATTACCCATAATTAGATGCTCCATGAATTTCTAAAACTCATCCATGGACTCCAGTTAAATATTGCTCTCAATTCTTTCCTCCCGAGGTAGCACAATCCTCCCTTTTATTTTAGAATATTTTAAGTTTAGTACACTGGAAACAGTTACTGGAAGCAGGTGGACTCAGCAGATTTGGAAGCGTTAGTACACACCCCCTTGACTTTGGAAAGTAAAGACACTGATAGTGCGACAGCAGATGCCGCATTCTGCACCTCTTGGAAGGTCCAGATAGACACTACAAATAATGATTTCTGACCACAGACAGGTGAGTTATTCAGCAAGTATTTACTGGGTGTCTGATATATACAGGCAGTGTGCCAGAGACTGAGCTCACCAACATAAAAAGACACCATTTCTTTTTTTGGTGAGATGATTTACATGCAAAAGTTTCATCTATAACACGTGACTGTCGTTAGTGGTGGCCCTGCAAAATAGTCATCTGAAATGCATTCCGAGGAGAAGAAAAGGGATCTTGACTGGCAATTTGATTTCTGGTTTCTTCGCATTCTAGATTGGTGAGTTTGTAAATCATTCTCAAATTGTCTCCTCTATAGACTGGGGTTAACAAGTTGACGAGAGAATTGTTGTAAAACTTCCCAAAAGATAACCTGTCAAAAAGAACATGGACGAATGAAAAAAACATAAATACGAGGCTCGTTGAGAGTGATAGTTGAGACGGTGTCCCCTTGACGGAGAAGCCTGGCTCCTCCAAGCCTCTACAGCCACCCCGGCGCCTGGCCGCGATCAGAATTCGCTCAATAAGCCTTCCGGGACGGATCAAGTTCCGCTTCCGCAAGCAGATTCTTCACTGTAGGCGCGAGCGCCGGCCGCCCGTCGCAGGCCGAGCGTCCGACCGCCCTCACGCGCATGCTCCTGAGGAGAGGCGGGGAGCGGAAGGGCGGGGGCGTGGCGAGGCGCCGCCGAACCGCCGACTCGCTCTCCCCGCAGCCCTGCGCGGGAGGCGGGGGCGCGCGCTCGTTCGTGCGCCGGCTGCGTACAGTAGTGACGGCCGCGCGGGAGCGGTCACATGACCGTAGCGGCTGCCTGTACAGTAAGGACCCAATATGGCAGCGGCGGTAGCAGTGGCAACGGCAGCAGGAGAACCGGCCGCCCCATAGACCCCCCCGCGCACCCTCCCCCGCCGCTTCCTCTGCTTGGGTGCTTCTCGGCCTGACTTCCCCTTTCTCCCACCTTTCCCGGCACCGCGGGAAAAGCAGCGCAGGGCAGAGCAGGCAGGGAGGACGGCCGGAGCCCGGACACGGGAGCCTCCCAGTCAGTTCAAGACCCGACATGAGGGAAAAGGGCCGTAGGAAGAAGGGCAGGACCTGGGCGGAGGCCGCCAAGACGGTAAGCAGGAGGGAGCGAACGGGAAGGCCGGGACGATTTCGTCCTTTCGCCTCCCGCCGGCCGCAGGGGAGGGGAGGTCACTGGCCCTGCGACCGGCTGAGGGAGCACAAAACCGCGCGGAGAGGGCGGCGGTTAGTGTCGAGGTTGTGATCCCGGTGGGAATGGAGGCGCTCAGCGGAAGAGGGGCGCCGCGGGACTGGGGCTTCTCCCTGCGTCTGCAGCTAGTCCTCTTGATGGCTGGAGGCTGCCTCTCTGGGTCAGTTTTCTCTCACCCCCAACTCTGTGGCAGCCCTCGCCCCGGCATGGGGAAGTCTGTTGTGCTTACACAGTAAACCGGTTCTTCTCCCTGTGCGGCCAAAGAGCCCCCATTGGATGCAGATGTGCGTGCACCCAGCCCCGGAAAGAAGAGGGGAGCGCTGGCGCTTGGTAGAATTTACCCGCGATCGCAGACGTGCCGCCTGACCCCAGGCCCCCCACTCTCCTGGGCTCGCAGATCCGACTTGAGGTCACGAGGCTCTTGTTTTTGTTTGCTGTTGGAGCTGAAAGTGCAGGAGGTGTTTAGAAACGAAGTAACAGGTGGGACTTGTAGAATTTTTTTTTCTGTTTCCGTAGAGACCTACTCTGAACTAGGCAGCAATGCATGGTGGGACGTGTAGTTTACCCGGCCCTCACTTTTCCGTAGCTAGTGGTGATGGCCTCACGAACTTGTAATTAGTGGGTAAAACCATTTTTCTTCCCCCCCCCCTCTAATTTGTTTAGCCAAGTTTGGAGATAGGTTTTTCAGAAGTACCCTATAGAGTTTGTGAGACCGCTGTGTTTTATGAAAAAACTTAAAAGCGTGATGTAAGTAGAAATGAAACCGTGGGAGAGAGTGAAGTTCCTTCCATCGTTGAGGGTGTGCAGAAAACTATTGAGATTATACATCAGTATTTCAATGTTGGTAGGTGTGGAGGCATTACCTTTAGTGGTGCATCATGTTAGTGTACAGCGCGGAGAATCCTTCCAAATGGACCTTTATTAGGTGTCTCATGGCTTATTTTGAATTGAGATTTTTCACAATATAAAAATAATAGATGTTCATGCAGGAAAAATTTGGAAAGGTATGGAAACACATAAAATAGAAAATAAAAATGCATTTCAATCCTCAGACCTCTGTATCTGTTAACATTTTGGTAGATTGCTATCTAATCTTTATTTCCCTAAGTCTGGGTCCTGCTGTTTATGCAATCGCTGCATTTGTTTTGTAGACCCTGTGCTTTATTTTGTAAACTTTATGCCAGTAGGGGGTTGATGAGTTGTATTTGTTTTAGTTGAAAATGGGAAAAAGTTGGTGAATAAATAAAAGCACATTTTATTTGAGTTTCACCTACTGGTTGTTTCTCTCTTAAAAGATAAAACGTTAGAAATAATTATTTTTTGTGGTGATTACTTTAGACTACTTGCTTGTACTTGATGAATGTCTCTTTTACTAAAAGATGCTTAGTAAATTTTAATTATAGGCAGGCAGACCCTAGCCCTAATTATGTTAATTTAAAATCTCTAGAGACTTAGAATACTATTGGAATTACCTGTTTGGATAAAATGGTCTGTTCCTTAGGAGGCAGTGACAAATGGGGAAGATTTGTTTGCATCCACTGTGGTAAATTAGTGTGTTTGCTCATTTGAAATTGACATTTCATGCCCTATGTGAAAAATAGTATTTAGAAGCTGGCGAGGCTAGTTGGATTATTTTGAGTGAGTTCCTTAAGAGAGGAATACATTGGTGACTTATAAAAACCTTGATTCTGGCAAATGTATAAGACCTCTTCAGTAAAGTGAATTTTAGAGAGACTAGTGATGCTAAACTTTTTTTTTTCCTAGTAGCTGACATCTAGAAATCAACCTACTTTTTGAGTTTGTTTCATCATTTAAAAACCAAGGAATTAAACTAAATTTAAGTGTTCAAAAGAATTCTGTTTATAGGAAGACATGGAAGTAAATGGAGGAGGAATAGACAAAAGTAAATCTTTAGTATTTCATACTGCAAAGTAGTATAAGAAAATTAGTGATGTGACAGATGGAAATAACTGACCTAATTAAGGAATGTACATAAAAGAGGAGTAAGAGAAGAGGCTGTAAAGCCGCAGTTTATTTCCTAGACCTTAAGGTCAGATGTCTATGAATAGAGTTTCAGCAGGGAAATAAAAGTATTTATTTTAAAACTTATTTACAGTCAAAATCTACTTATTTTATTGTGTTCTTGATACTTGTAGCGCTGTCCTGTTTTAGAGATCACTGTTAAAATGAAGATTGCATTCCTGACCAATCATATAGCAAAAATAAGTAAAACTATATATATGAAATATGTGTGACTGTCTGAAAGCTACACAGATTGAAGTAAGGTTGGCATGGACAATGAAAGCAAAATAAGGTTTGTAATTATTATATGATAGAAAATTATGCCAAGGGGTTGGATAATTGTAGAATGCAGACTGGTCTAATAACTGAGGACACCAGAGAGAGGGAAAATTGAGTTGAGATTTACTAGAACTATAGTGGACTGGGTCTCTACTGACCTTCTATTAGACCTATGTAAGTACATTAGTCATAAAAAGTATTATGCAAGTATTTAGTTAACAGTCTCACATGTTTTAAAATTTAAGACTAGGTGATAGTGGTAATAAAATGATTTGGATATCTGTGGTATAGTTTGGTGCAGTTTAAATTTTTTTTTTTTTTTTACAGATTTATTATTTAGGGTCTCTCTGATGAAACAAGTGGTTAAGTCTCAGCCCCATCAGGCTATCACCAATCACTGAAGCACCACTTTGATCTCCAGCCAGGCAGCTGACTCACATGGCACAGCAGACTTCAGACCTTTCCTGTCTCACCACTGCTCCCCTCAGCGGTGTATTTCAGTTAATCCACCTGTTCTGCTCCCCACTCTGTCTGGTGAATCTTTTTCACCTTCATCCCCTCTCCCCCCTCACACCTCTGGCCTATACCCCAGCTCTTTTATGCACAAATATTTTTTTTTTAAATAATATAACAGTTTTATTTTTTTAAAAAAGATTTCTTCATACAAGAGCTGGGGTATAGAGAACTATGTTCAAAGTTAGACCCATTCTTTAGAAAAAGGGGGAAAAAAGATATTGTATAATTTAAATATTTGATAACATCCCTGAGGAATTTAGCCTTTTTTTTTTTAATAAGCAGAACTTTTGAAATAGTATAATCTTGTTGCTTCTGTTTTCCTTTCCATTTTTCTCTGATCTAGGATGAGAAAGGGAAAAACTGTCCCCAAAGTATGTTTGTATGTCATTTAACTTTAGGAAATATGATGGGAGTTAAAGTTTCCATTACAGGGATAATACAGGCTAATTATTTTCTTTTTAAAGATTTATTTATTTATGGATCCAAGAACTGGGGTGTAGGCCAGAAGTATAGGGGGTGAATGGGCTCATCAGAGACAGAGTGGGGAACAGAATAGGCAAACTGACTGAAATACACTGCTAAGGGGAGCAGTGGGTGAGAGAGGAGAGGTCTGCTGCACACTGTGTGTGTGGGGGGGGGGGGGGGGGGGGGGGGGAGAAGATGGAATTCTGTGGATAGCTCCACAGTGCTGAAACTTAGCCTTTGCCCACCAGGGAGGGGCCTCTGCTAATTATTTTTATATAGGAAGTGTAGCAAATGGAATGTAATTACTTAGAAATCTAATTATAAAAATGCATCATGATTAGAAAAATGTTTAGAAAGATCATTTAAAGATACATATGGGCCTCCCTGGTGGGGTAGGAGTTAAGTCTCAGCATTATCATCTTTACAGCTTGAGTTTGCTCCCCAGCCAGGGAGCTGACCCACATGGCACAGCAGACCTCTCCTGTCTTGCCCACTGCGCTCCTCAGCATTTTATTTCAGTAGCTCTACCTGTTCAGCACCCTACACTGTTTCTGGTGAATTCTCTCACCCCCTGCTCCTCTGGCCTACACCCAGTTTTTTGTATGCATAAGTAAGTAAAAAATTAAAAAAAAAAAAAAACTAGTTATAAAATAGCGATAGTAATAAAGTTTTCAGTACCTCTCTATTTATTTTGATTGTGAGTAGGTTTATTTTTATTCCTTAAAAATAAGGTTGGGGACCTTCCTGGTGGTGCAGCAGGTTAGGATGCAGCACTGCAAGCTAGCAGCTGCCGCTTCAATGTGAGTTCGATCCCCGGCCCTGGAGATGACCCACATGGTGCAGCAGACTTCTTCTGTCTCTCCCACTGCTCCCATCAACAGTGTGCTTTGTTGATCAGAGTGTTCCCCACTCTGTTTCTGGTGAATCCTTTCACTGCCCCTGTACCTCTGGCCTCTACCCCAGTTCTGTATGCATAAATAAAGAAATCATAAACCTTTGAAAAAAAAAAAAAAAAGCCTAAGAGGGCCCTTCCTGGTGGCACAGTGGGTTAAAGTGCCGCACTATGAAGCAGTCCAAAGCCACTGCAGCATGAATTTGATTCCCCCACCAGGGAGGTGACCCACATGGCGTGGCAGACCTCTCTTGACCCTCCTGCTGCTCCCCTCAGCAGGGTACTTCACTTGATCTGCTTTTTCTGCTCCCCACTCTCTCTGATGAATCCTCTATCCTCCCTACCCCCCTGTACCTCTGGCTTGTACCCCAGTTCTTATATGCATAAATAAATCTTTAAAAAAAAAAAAAAGGTTAAGAGTCTGACTAGGCCTGGTTATGTCCCCTTTGATTTATGTTGATCATGCCAGAGTCCTTTCAAACCTATATTTGGGTTGTACTTGAAGCGGTATTAGAAGGCCTAGGAGAGCTTGTGCACTTAGAAAAATATTCAACAAATATATTGTTTTTGTAATATGCATAATGTAGGAAGTAAAATTGGCAAATTCTTCTAAGAATTGTAGGATACCTAAAAGTGAGAAAACATTGCAAAGGGCCCTAGATTAAAAAGTGAGAAACTGCTTTGATTCATATTTTCAGATTAAAACACTTTATTTTCCATTTCAGCTTTT